GGAGTGAGGAGGTAACGGAAACATACCTGCGAAGGGTGGACACGACACAGAGTTGCGGGTCGTCGGGGAAAAAGGGGTAGAAGACCGAAGTCGAACCCGACCTAGTGCGGCGGGAAATGTGGAACGTGACCCCTTCCGGGGCCACCTCGAAAGCGTCCACGTCGAAGGCCCTAACATCCGAAACCCGTCGGAAGATACTAGACAAAGGAGAAAGCGCACTTAGCGGATAGTTGGCGTAGGGAGAGGTGGTCATTCGGAAGCCAATCCCTGAAAAAACGGAGAACCAGTCCCACATCCCATAGGTGAGGGTATCTGGGGGCCGGGGGGCGGCGGAGCCGCATACCACGGAGTAGACGGCAGACCAGAGGGTCTTTGCCGACCGGGAGATCCCCGACGGGGTGTGAGCCGCTGAAATCGCGGAGCAAACGACGTTGACCGAACGGTAAGAGCGGTCAGATGAAAACAAGGAGGAAAGAAAATTAAGAATCATGGGAATAGATGCAGTAAAGGGATCGGAGTCCCGTTCCATGCACCAAGTAGACCCGGAGGCCCAAGCTGAAAGGTAACAGCGTCTAGTTCCCGGGGCCCATGAGTCCCATAAGAGGTCCCTAGCAGTCTGCGATAGTCCGATGACTCGCCAGGAACCCCGGAAAGAGACCAAGCCACCAGGGGTAGCCGGTCTTCCAGGAGTAGTGGGTGGAGATACCCTTTGGGATCCGTGAGCAGGTCCGGGAAGGATGGAAGGAGGAGAGGGTCCCTGTAGGAGGAGGCCAGGAGGTCCGGGAACCATGGTTGGCTCTGCCACAAGGGCGCTATGACAACCAGTTTGATCTGTTGCGTCCGCATCTGGTGTAGTGTTCTCGCAATCATGGAGAATGGGGGAAAGGCGTAGGCTCCTGTCGACGGCCATTGTTGGAGAAATGCGTCTGTCGCCTTGCTCTCCGGGTCCGGGAGCCAGCTGAAGAACTCCGGGGTCTGGTGATTGTTGCGAGGGGCAATAGTCGAAGATGTCCCTTGTGATATCCGACAGTAGGCGTGAGCGAGCGCCTCCCAGATGGTTGATGTACTGGACTGCGGAGGCATTGTCCATGCGCAGGAGGATGCAGCAGTTGGATCTTTCCCGGGCCAGGCTGCGGGTCGCAAAGGATCCCGCCAGGAGTTCGAGACAATTGATGTGCATGGAGAGCTCCTGTGCCGTCCATGTGCCTCCCGTGGAGATGGTTCCGTTGGTGGCACCCCATCCCCACAGGCTGGCGTCTGATTCCAATACGAAGTCTGGAGTGTCTCCGAATATGGCCTTGCCGTTCCAGGCTTGCATGCTGTCCAGCCACCATGATAGTTCTTCGCGAACCTTCGTCGTCACCGGGACGGGTTGGTCGTAAGTAGGTCTGTGGCGTAGGTATTTCGCCTTGAGACGTTGCATGGCCCTGTAGTGGAGGGGACCTGGAAATATGGCTTGAATGGGAGCAGAGAGGAGACCTACAATCCTGTCCAGGTTGCGTAGTGGAATGGAGTCGAGACGGAGAACCCTGCGAATCTCCTTGTGAATGGCTGTGATCTTTGAGGCTGGTAGTCTCAGAGTGCATGTCGTCGAGTCGATCTCGAAGCCGAGGAATTGTATCGTCTGAGTAGGGGTCAGTTCCGATTTGGGTTGGTTTACCACGAAACCCCGAGATTCCAGTAGGGACACTGCCAAGTGAGTGTGTTGGCGTAGTCTGTGTTCGTCGGAGCAGAAAAGGAGAAGGTCGTCTAAGTAGATGATGTATCGACTGCCCCTGGATCTCAGGTGGGCCACCACTGGTTTTAGAAGCTTGGTGAAGCACCATGGGGCTGAGCTGAGCCCGAAAGGGAGGCAAGTGAATTGCCCAGGGCGTCCGTGCCAGAGGAAACGTAGGAGTGCTCGACAGTCCGGGTGCACCGGGACTGACAGATATGCATCTTTCAAATCGAGCCTGGTGAACCAGTCGTTGCCTCGAAGAAGGTCTCGCAGGAGGTGGATGCCCTCCATCTTGAAGTGGCGATAGACCACATGTGCGTTGAGGGCGCGTAGATTGATGACCGGTCGGTATTCTCCTGACTTTTTCCGAACCAGGAAGATGTTGCTGAAGTAACCACCCTCGTCATGGGCCGGCTGGATGGCCCCTTTGTCTCGGGGCTCGCGTAGCTCCGCGTTGACGAGGTTGTGGTCGGAGGATGACATGTGGATGGGACGAGGGGCTGAACCTGAAAGGGGGGTCCCCACTAGGTCTATGATATATCCCTGTACTGTTTGTAGGATCCATGTGTCTGAGCATAGGGCGGCCCAATTCTGGAAAGAAAGGGAAATACGGCCCGCATGGTAACAGTGGAGGAATATGGGTCCTTACCTGCAGCAAAGCGGGAACGCCCGCGTCCGCGGGGTCCACGACCTCTATCCGAGCCTCTGGAAAAGGGTTGCTGCCGATAGTCCCTTGTCGGGTAGGACGGTGTTGGTTGAGTGCTGGGGCCTGAAGGCCAAAAGCGGCTGGCGGCACGGCCCCGCTGCCGGCCAGCCCTTCCAAAAACCCCTCTGGTAGGGTTGCTCCTGAAAACTCTGTGCATAGAGGATTGCGCCTTATTAAGGGAGGTGAACACGTTTACGTGTTTATTAAGTTCCTTGAGGAACGGTTTGCCAAATAGTTTTCCTTGTGCCTGGGGCCCAATCTCCTTTGTGCCAAGGTCTGCCAATTTACCGTTAATACGGTATAACGCTGCTTTTCGTCTCTCCGAAGAGAGCGTAACATTAGTGTTTCCAATGAAACAAAAACACCGTTGTGCCCATTCACGAACGTCATGTGCCCATTCCCTGATGTCCTCGGCAGAGAAGGAGTCGGCTTTGGCGTAGGCATCATCTGCCAGATACATAATGCGAGCCAGGGGGCCTACGGAATCCAGCAGGTTATCCTGGGCGCCCCATAGGCCTTTCTCTACCCCTCGGCGAGGGTCTCTACCACTGCGCATCATGAAGGTCGACATGACCTTGTCAAATTCAGGGGTCTGAGCGACCTTATCCGGCAGGGAAAGGCGTGGGCATTCAGACCTGAGTCGGCTGCGGACCTCCTTCTCCAGAGGTTTGCGGAGCCACAGGTGCATAAACCTGGAAAGGTGTTCTGGAGGTGACCAGTCACCCGATCTGGGGTGCCATATGTTGCGTGGGTCGAACATCGCCTGACCTGAGGGGTCCAAAATGGTGTCTGATTCTAGAGGAGGTTCTGCGTCCGCAGTGTCCTCAACACCTCCAGTCTGGGCAGCACCCAGGAGGGTCTCCCGCATGAAAGCGGAGACAGATTTCTCGTCCGAGCCCCATGCGTCGTAGTCCAACTCACAAGCGTCAGCTTGCCATTCATCCAGCACTGACATGGACTGGGCAGGGCCCTGCTCTTCATCTGAAGAGTACTCCTGACGCGGGGCCGGGGTGTGTAGTTTGGCAGATTTGCGCTTGGCAGGTGCCTTACCCTTAGGCGGTTTGGGTGCATAATCCTCGCCTTTGTCATGGCGCTTTTTAGGGCGGGAGTCATCCCTTGTCTAATAGTCGGACAAGTTGGAATCCGATTCGTGGCGTGTACGTCTGCGGGTTTTGGTACGTCAGGAGCCGGAGCTCGGGCCTTGGAGAGTGCCTTCTCCACAGAGGCAGCGACAGCTGCGTTAATCATAGCCTGGAAGTCCACAGGGACGTTCTGGGAAACTTCCATGTTAGGGTAGGCTGATACGTCACTGAAAGGCACAGCAATAAACGGGCACCCAGGTCTTGATAATAGGCGTAGGGTCAGATTTGATAATATGGTGGGACCAAGCCCAGAATAACCCCAGCAGGGTATAGTAGTGACCTTATAAACTGGGGCTCACCCAGTTAGAGAGAACTGCAACAGCTAGTCTCCCAGTAAGCAGCATATTTATAGTGGGGGCTCACCCCGGTTGCACAGGGTTGGGACCCTTAAGTGCAGGTCACAGTAATAAACAGGCAGCAGCACTGACCTGACTGACCCAGCCACGGGATATAGCTTGATAGAAGCAGATGAGGCACAGAGGCTGAGTAGCAGAGTGATAGCA